CTTAATTTCTACGCAAATTTAAGTATGTTTTGAGAGCATAATAAGGATATTTTAAGTGTGCAAACTTTGCATAGGGTTATTAGCATCAGCACAAAAAAGAATATCAGAAATCATGAAGCCACTAGGAGATCAAGTAAAATGTATACATACAGATGGCTTTATTGTAGCTGGAAAAGCAGAACTTAAAACGGGAATAGAAATGAGTGAGCTAAAACTCGAGAAAAAAGGAGTTTGTGTAGTAAAAAATTGTATATCAGTTTCATGGAAACCGTCATATCCAGAAATTCCAAATTTGATTACAACTAGTTTATCAGATTTTGAGAAAATACAACAAGATAAAAAGCAGAATACAATATTAGATACAGAGTATCCTGCTTCACAGACAGTAAAAAGGAAACTATCAAAAAAGTCCGATATAAATCTTCCGAATGAAATTATAATAGAAATATTTCAACATTTACAAACACAAAATAAAAGATTATGTGGTAATAATGAATTATTGTTTCCAGTTTTATATGTTAACAAACAATGGAATGAATGTACAACATATTTAATATGGAGAAGTATTACATTATATAAATATAATATTAGAAATTTTGTCGAATTAATAAAAAAGAAACCATTACTGAATGCGATAAAATATATAAAACAGATAGAATTCAAAAGAATAGATAATTATTTTAATACAAATGAATTCCTATTAGAAGACATTGCAAGTATATGCCAATATATGATAACTATATCATTTAAGGATTGTGGTTGGGGATTTCTTAACAATAGTTCACTAAAGATAACATTGGATACATGCAAGAATCTAAACCATATTAATATATTTATCTATGGAAGTAATCGAATAACACCAAAAACTGACTTAAGTATACCAGAAAAATGTACAAGTATAAAAACTATAAAAATACAAAATTGTGAATGAATAACAGATAAAATAGTAAATCAATTATTGAGCAAATATCCAAAAATTGAAATTAATAAAATAGAAGTTGACTCACGAAATGAGGATGATATTGCATCTCAAATTATAGAAGATATATTTGACAAAGACTAGTTTATGGTAATAGATAAGTAAGCTATAAAACTCATTTAGAAGATAACTAAAAATTTATATTATATAAAACAAAATACAAAGTATAAACAAGTATGACAGACAATAGTTCAAGTTTAATAAATGAGCAGGGCTCAGAGTTAACAATGCAGGAAGCTATTTCATGGGAAATGATTGAATCAGCACAAATTAAAATAATAAAAGAAGCCTTTTGTCTTCGATATAGAAAAGATAGTAAGCTTATTAGTGAATATGCTGGATATGTAAAAAATTTGCGTAATGCAGAAAACCGAGATGAGTATATAAAATATACAGCTATAACACTATTTCCAAATGAAGAAGCATATAATAAAAGAATGTTGAGATATAGAAAATGGTATCAAGGTAAAAAGGAGCTACTTACCAGTGTAGAAGATTTATATAATCTTTATTATAAGCTATCCAAAAAAGATAGGCCTATGACTGAAACAGAAATTGAGGAAGCTGTTGAAGATGTACTTATAGACGAGTAGAGTGGAGCTCATTCTTTCAGAATAATTTAATATTGTTTAAGGATCCATTTCAGAGGATATTCTATATTGTTATTTACTAATAATAATTGTTCTCTCACGAATGATCTCTCAGGACCATCCCCAATTTCATCCATAAGCCAGTATAATACTGGTTGATTTTTTTGTATTAGTGATTCATTAATATGATAAACTTTAGGAGACCAATTCATATCAGTTATGCATCTCTTGCCAAATTCTAATTCTCCAGGTTCAAGTAAATATAAAACAGAATCTTTATAGCTTAATCGAGGTTCATTAAACCCAATAGGTCTTCAATGTTTTACATATGGATCAGCAATTATTTTTTCACCTTTTAATGCCCTCTTTACAGCTTCATTAGGTGACATATGAATTAATTGAGTGGGAGTATCATTATAAATGTCATCATTAATACGAAGACCTTTAACCCATGCTCTAGACCTATCAGACAAAGGTAAATGAAAATCTATGGCATCTTGACAAATGAAAGCATGTTTTTCAAATTCCTGATGATCACGCTCCACTATAGCATTGCTTTCTTTGGATTTTTTGGGATTGAAATATACACCATGCCTTAATAATAAATCTTTACACTCAGCTAAATACTCAGTACCTTTATCAGTTCTGAAAATCATTAGGCCAAGAAAGAGGATTATTAGGATCTTCATATTTTTTTTTGATTGCTTTAGCAACTGTAGAAGCTGATTTATTAGTTAATGCACAGCTTTTTCAATATCTAGTTGCCACATCTTTTATTACAAGTCTATATTTAAAAACTTGATTACCAATTTTATCATGAGACATAGGAGTAAGATCAGATTGATGCATTTCATTTAAATTTTGAATTCCATTAAAAGATGCATACTGAATAAAACATGGTTGAGGTTTATGAATCAAATACAATATCTGTTTTTCAAGCCATTCTTTTATATCGTTTAATGAAAAATTATAACCAGCCTTTTTACAAGCATTATGCATTTTTTCAACAGTTCAATAGTACCCTTCAGGTCGGTAATATAATTTTTGTAGAATAATTTCACGATCAAGATCATGAGCTCTTTGTGAGTCAATATAAATTACAGGTGAATCAGAGATTCAAAACTTTGTTTCTTCAATCATAACTTTTATTATTATAGTGAATAAAAAACCTGAATTCGAGAAATATCAAAATCTGCAGGTAATATGGTGCAGATCATCTATAATCATTAATTGCTTATAGTAACAATTGGTCAACTTCAAAATACTAAAACAAAAAAA